CTCAGCCGTCCTCTCTCCGAATCGTTCTCCTGTTCAAACTCAGTTTCCCTTCAAGCTCATCGACGACCAAATCTATCCACTGTCCGATCGTCTGTTGCCAAAATCAGGTGACCTCTATGAGTGATTTGAATTGCATACACACCAAATTATTTCTTGATGATTTGCCCTAATTATGTAAAATTATATATCGGTATCCTAATGATCCGTACCCTACTAGAAATTGCAAACACATCAGAATTAATTCACAAAGGAAAATGAGAACTAACTACACTTTCTACAGATAATCCTACACCCTAATTATTTTGATTGATTAGCTATGCACATTGGACATGCCCATATTCCAAAAAAAGTATGAACAGCCTACCCTTTAGTTGTTTCCCTTATCTGTATCCTTAAATGTTTCAAACATGTAAAGTTCATAATTGCAACATATGCATTGGGAAATTCAGGTTATAGATATTGAGGAAATGGCATGGGCACCAAGATATGGATTGAAAGGAATGATTGATGCATCTCTTCGCATAATAACGAGTTCAAGTCATGGTGATTCATAGAAGAAAATTATGCCTTTGGAGTTTAAAACTGGCAAAGGAACTACTGGTCAGGTACTAACTCCTTTTCAATTTACTGCTGAAATTTGTATTGTTTTGTTTCAATTTTATCACTATTATTTTAATGCCATTGTTTAGCTTCCATAAGTTTCTCATTTATTGCAAATAATATTACATTGTAAAAATGTTTAATTCAAATATATATTCATCCATAATTGATGTTTGTAATGATTTATTCATGATTATACTATATTTACATATTGTCATCTTCATTATTTTATTTTGTAGTTCCTTATGGTTAGAACTCCATTTGAAAATATTGTACCATCCTAAACTTCCACATTGTAAAGTGAAAATGAAAGAAATTATCCTCCTTAATTGTAACCTTTATATACATTAGCCAGCAGGTCATCAGTTGCAGTGAAATGAGTTTGGTCTTGGATTAAAACAGATGAGTTATCATAAATTAAGTCTCCCCAGGTTTTGTGCTCTTGCAACACTATCAAAGTTTGTGTAAGAGATGTTGACTCTTGGTTGTGATGCTTATGCCCAAAGTTATTAGATTATTTACTTGAAACTGCTTTAGGTATGCCTAAAATTTAGACTTGAGGATTATAGATCTTAGTTTGGGTTCAAAACTTTTTGTCCTCCATCTAAAAAGTGAACCTTGTTTCTCAGAGAATAGCTACATTAGTTTTGTTTTGAATGAAAGATCAATTTATTTTAATTAAATCCGCGAAGCGTAAGTGTACTTACTGTTCTTACTCATACTTTACTTATAGTGCATATTCGTAATTGATGACTCTAACAAGTTGTATATCTATTATGTTTCCTTGTCATCTTTATGCTTCGTGTCATCACAACAATAACAACAATAGAATGTCGCATACCTATTCTCAGACCTATTTCTGGATTTGTTCATAGGCTTATATCCTATATTGGCATCTGTTGGATCAACATTAGCGTATTATTGATTCACTATGATAGTGTATTAATATTTCACGCTAAATCTTTGTATTTTAGTTCTTATATTCTATTGCCATTTACTTTGCTTAGAGGGCTGAAACTTCGATCCTCCTTGTTTGTGAATATTTAGTGTGTTTATTTTTTTGACATGATCCTATCATAATGTGGATGCATGGAATTAAGCATGTGTTGGTGAGTTTTTCAATGGGGAACTGAGTGTCTCCTATGGACAAAGAATACTTAGGTTTATATTCTTGGTGAGTTTTTCAATGGGGAACTGAGTGTCTCCTATGGACAAAGAATACTTAGGTTTATATTTTCAGTCTTCTCTGTTTTCTCCCATTTCAATAACCTTATAGTAGGTTTCTTAACTTGACAATTATTTAATTAAAGAAGAGAATTAATGACCGGAATAAGTTGACGGCTCTCAAGTTACCTTTCAAAAAAGGAAGCAGCGTTTCTTTTACCTCCCAATACTTTACTTATTCTTGATGCTTATTTTCTGTGTAATTTATAAAATCCTTGTGGATTAATGCTTCCACATTTCCAAGACTTTTTTCACTTTACCCTCACAAGTCCTTGGAGATATAATCATAAATTTAAGTTTGATAATAATGCGAAAGTGTTCCATGAAACCCGAAAGAAAGCTAATAAAACACTAGATATTAGGGATCAAGATAAATATGTAAGTAGAATATATATTTAAGTTTGATAATAATGCATTATATAGTACTAACATATGAATTTAATTTTTATAGAAATCGTTCAAGTCAAACAAGCAAACCTTTCACTTTCAGACATTGAGATAAGCAATCTCATGGTCACATCACTGTATTTGGTGACGGGACTACTTTAAAAGATTTGTGAGGACCGCTCCCTAGTTGATCTGATCTGGAAACACGTGTTATAGAAGAAAAGAGAAAGAACTAGATGCTTCAACAACGCTTAGATGAGCAGGAGCAACAACAACATCAACAACAACAAATGATGTTTGACTTAGAGTCACAAGTGAAAGCTATGCATGAACTTTTTTTAGGCAACAATCTAATACTTCATTGACTCCTCAAACTCGAGAACATGTGCAGGGTAAGTAATTATTTTGTAAAATCTCTTATATAATTTTATAAATGACTACTTGCACTAGAGAAAATACGATTTTTACTTAATAAGATAATATTTGCTTAATTGATATTTCTTAATTATGTGATTTTTTTTTATTTTTTAGGCTATCCAAGATTAGGAGAGGGGGAGCTCGAGTCTTCTTTTTGACAATGATTAGAGATGAAAGGATGTGTCTTTCCCAGACTTTTATTTTAATTTGATTTAGATAGTTTCACGTATTTTTCTTTGGAACAATTGGGTTATTAACTCTTGTCATTAGTATTGAATATTTAAGGATGGTGGAATTTTATTTATTGATGTTATTAATGAATGGAGTTTTTGTTTTCCCTTTTATTCATTATTGGGTATTTTTAATATATTTGTGTTGTAAATCTCAGTGTCATGTTGAGAATAATATGAATGTTTTCTATGATAGTTGCCTATTTGGTGGCGGGACTACTTTGAAAGATTTGAGAGGACCGCTCCTTAGTCGATCTGATCTGGAAGCACGGGTTATAGAAGAAAAGAGAAAGAACCAGATGCTTCAACAATGCTTAGATGAGCAGGAGCAACAACAACAAAGAATGTCTGAGTTGGAGTCACAAGTGAAAGCTATGCAAGAACTTTTTTTTAGGCAATCACCTTCATTGACTCCTCAAACTCGAGAACGTGTGCAGGACTAGGTAATTATTTTTTATAAAATCTCTTATATACTTTTATGATTGACTACTTGCACTAAAAAATGTGATTTTTACTTAATAAGATAATATTTGCTTAATTGATATTTCTTAATTATGTGATTTTTTTAAATTTTTTAGGCTATCCATGCAAGATTAGGAGGGGGTAACTCGAGTCTTCTTTTGACGATGATTAGAGATGAAAGAATGTGTCTTCCCCAAACTTTTATTTTAATTTGTTTTAGATAGTTTCATGTAATTTTCTTTGGAACAATTAGGATATTAACTCTTATTATTAGTATTGAATATTTGAGGATGGTGAAATTTTATTTATTGATGTCATTAATAAATAGAATTTTTATTTTACCTCTTATTCATTATTGGGTATTTTTAATATATTTTTGTTGTGAATAATAGTTGCCTATGAATGAAAAATTTATTATTAATGTAAATTAGAAATTTGTAGTCTACAATGACGATTTTATAAACCGTATTTTGTTCATCAACGAAGGGAAAGCACAGTCGTTGATGGGTTACTAATTGCCCATTATGAGGACTTTTACGATGGTATCCAACCATCATTAATTAGTCTTTAACGATGGGAAAATATCCCCGTAACTAATGGTAACGACGGGAAAATATCCCCGTAACTAATGGTAACGACGGGAAAATATCAAGTCACTAATGGTAACGACGGAAAAATATCCCCGTTACTGATGGTAACGACGGTGATAATTACCGTCGTAAATATTAATGACGGTAATATGTTCCGTCGTTATAGACTCTACAACGACGGGTAGTATATCCCTTCGTGACCCTTTATCGAAGAGGGCTTCAACGACGGGTGATGAAGGGATTTTTCCCCGTCGTTAGCATATAATAACGAAGGTTTTCAGCTCTTTAACGAAGGGAAATCCCTTCGTTAAAGATGTAATTTCTTGTAGTAATTTTCACCTTAGATTAGTGGATGTGAGATCCATTTTTGTGATCCACCATAGTTTTTTTTTTTTTTTGATATGTCAAAAATGTGCTTGGACTTTGATTTGAGAAATTTTGTTACATTTAAGTAGGTTTTTGTCTAGCATGATATATATATTTTTCTAATCTTATATGTTATTCTCATCTCTACATTTTATCTTTATATGTTGTTATTTCAATTGATCAGTATCCATAGTTGATTTTGACATATATGCACAATGTAATCTCCTTACCAACCACCCTTGTATTTGTATCTTACTAGTTGAATTGCACGTGCAATGCACGTGGTAAATTTTTGTATGTAAACAGTATCTAAGTGGAAGATTTTTGGGTACATTTGATATGAAGGGCATGCTTCCCTTGTTTCGCATATGTTACTTTGAGAAATGTTTGAGGACCTTCTTCTTTGTTGCATTAGAATGTTCATCTCTCAAGTACCAGATCTTAATTGTAACATGATCACTCAAAAAGCTATAGAGCTCCTAAGGGAAAAGGAGAATTTGTACAATTTATACATACAAGTATTCTGAATTAGTATAATGTTGTATGTAGAATACTCTCGTTCCGATGGGATATAGATACGGATATTATGAATGTAAGTGAGTATCTCAACCCGTGTCCAAATAATCAGATTATGTATTGATTGAACAATTTCAATATTCGTTCATTTTCACCTTAGATTAGTGGATGTGAGATCCATTTTTGTGATCCACCATAGTTTTTTTTTATATGTCAAAAATGTGCTTGGACTCTGATTTGAGAAATTTTGTTACATTTAAGTAGGTTTTTGTCTAGCATGATATATATATTTTTCTAATCTTATATGTTGTCCTCATCTCTACATTTTATCTTTATATGTTGTTATTTCAATTGATCAGTATCCATAGTCGATTTTGACATATATGCACAATGTAATCTCCTTACCAACCACCCTTGTATTTGTATCTTACTAGTTGAATTGCACGTGCAATGCACGTGGTAAATTTTTGTATGTAAACAGTATCTAAGTGGAAGATTTTTGGGTACATTTGATATGAAGGGCATGCTTCCCTTGTTTTTCATATGTTACTTTGAGAAATGTTTGAGGACCTTCTTCTTTGTTGCATTAGAAGGTTCATCTCTCAAGTAGTAGTACCAGATCTTAATTGTAACATGATCACTCAAAAAGCTATAGAGCTCCTAAGGAAAAAAGAGAATTTGTACAATTTATACATACAAGTATTATGAATTAGTATAATGTTGTATGTAGAATACTCTCGTTCCAATGGGATACAGATACGGATATTATGAATGTAAGTGAGTATCTCAACCCGTGTCCAAATAATCAGATTATGTATTGATTGAACAATTTCAATATTCGTTCATTTTCACCTTAGATTAGTGGATGTGAGATCCATTTTTGTGATCCACCATAGTTTTTTTTTATATGTCAAAAATGTGCTTGGACTCTGATTTGAGAAATTTTGTTACATTTAAGTAGGTTTTTGTCTAGCATGATATATATATTTTTCTAATCTTATATGTTATCCTCATCTCTACATTTATCTTTATATGTTGTTATTTCAATTGATCAGTATCCATAGTCGATTTTGACATATATGCACAATGTAATCTCCTTACCAACCACCCTTGTATTTGTATCTTACTAGTTGAATTGGGGTAAATTTTTGTATGTAAACAGTTTCTAAGTGGAAGATTTTTGGGTACATTTGATATGAAGGGCATGCTTCCCTTGTTTCTCATATGTTACTTTGAGAAATGTTTGAGGACCTTCTTCTTTGTTGCATTAGAATGTTCATCTCTCAAGTAGTAGTACCAGATCTTAATTGTAACATGATCACTCAAAAAGCTATAGAGCTCCTAAGGGAAAAGGAGAATTTGTACAATTTATACATACACGTATTCTGAATTAGTATAATGTTGTATGTAGAATACTCTCGTTCTGATGGGATACAGATACAGATATTATGAATGTAAGTGAGTATCTTAACCCGTGTCCAAATAATCAGATTATGTATTGATTGAACAATTTCAATATTCGTTCATTTTCACCTTAGATTAGTGGATGTGAGATCCATTTTTGTGATCCACCATAGTTTTTTTTTATATGTCAAAAATGTGCTTGGACTCTGATTTGAGAAATTTTGTTACATTTAAGTAGGTTTTTGTCTAGCATGATATATATATTTTTCTAATCTTATATGTTATCCTCATCTCTACATTTTATCTTTATATGTTGTTATTTCAATTGATCAGTATCCATAGTCGATTTTGACATATATGCACTATGGAATCTCCTTACCAACCACCCTTGTATTTGTATCGTATCTAGATCCAGCCAGCTAGAAGGTATGTAACCTAACTCTCAAACCTCAATAATGGTTGACATCTTTCTTATTACATCAAAGTTTATCGTAATAAGTTCTAGGTTAACCAATTAATCTTGCTCTTAATTTGCTCACTGTTTCAGACTGGCTTGAAGCACGCACCCAAGCAATGGTACAAGAAATTTGATTCTTTCATGTTGAGTCATGGCTATCAGAGGACAGTTACAGATTCGTGTGTGTATTTCAGGAGACTTTTAGATTCTAGCTTCATTATCCTTTTGGTTTATGTGGATGATATGTTGATTGTTGGTTAGGACAGTCAGATGATCATTGCGCTGAAGAAGGAGTTATTTAAATCCTTTGACATGAAGGATTTAGGATCGGCACAGCGGATTCTTGGTATGAATATTGCTCGTGACAGGAAAGCCAGAAAGTTGTGGTTATCACAAGAGAAATATGTTGAACGCGTGAGAGCAATGGATCACCCAACGAATGGATTGCTTGATAGATTCAACATATATAAAAGATGTCAAGTCAGTCAGTACTCCTCTTGCAGGTCATTTAAAGCTTAGCCAATAAGTTTTGCCCTGACTACAGATGAGGAAAGAGTGAGATGGTGAATATTCCTTACTTTTCAGCTGTAGAGAGTTTGATGTATGTCATGGTTTGCACTCGACCAGATATAGCTCATGCAGTTTGAGTTATGAGCAGATTTCCTTCTAATCCAGGAAAAGTTCATTGTGAATGTGTAAAGTGGATCTTAAAATGTTTGAAAGACAGTTCGAGATTATGTTTGAGTTTTTGACATTCGAAGGCAATATGATATGGTTTTGCAGATGTAGATATGACAGATGATCTCGATCACAGAAAATCTACCTTATGTTGGTTGTTCACTTTTGCAAGGGGAGATGTATCTTGGTAGTTCAGGTTACAGAAGTGTGTTACTTTATCTACAGCAGAGGCGAAGTATATTGCAGTTGCAGAAGCCGATAAGGAGATGGTTTGGTTGAGAAGATTTTTGCAGGAGTTAGACTTGCAGCATGACAATTATCAAGTTTTCAATGATAGTCAAAGTGCTCTTGATTTGAGCAAGAATTCTACATTCTATTCCAAGACAAAACATATTGATGTGAGATATCATTGGCTTAGAGAAACTATTGAGAAAGAGGAGCTGAAGCTTCAGAAGATTCACACGGATAAAAATCAAGCAGATTTTTTAACGAAGATCGTTTCCAGAGAGAAGACCGAGTTATGTCGGTGATTGGCCGGCATTGACATCCACCTCGTTGGGCTGAAGGGAGAGATTGTTGTGGCTCCAGCCTAATTGGGGCCCACAAGGACTAGACCAAATTTCTTGAATCCTACTAAGAAAATGATTAATATGGACCTATTCATAATTTGAATAGGAAAGGAGGACCTAGGGATAAATTTTCTTTATTAAAGGAATTGGGCACGGGAAGAGCATCACCCTGAGATCAGTTTTCCTGTAGCTACAGTTACACGAGAGTTTATCGAGCGCTGTGTGGATTTCGAAGAGAGAGAGAGGGGGGAGAGAGAGAAAAAAGTTAAGATTCTGAATAGCTCGGTTGTCCGTTTACAGTGATTCAAAAGTCATTGTCTTCAGAACAACGACGTCGTCGAGGGTACGGTGTCAATTTCTCCACAAGAGTTAGAAATTTGTGGTGAGACGGATTTTAGGGTCCTAGAGGTAACGTATTTTTTCTTTGTGATTCGACCCTCAAGTTCGGGTGTAACTTTGAGGGATTATACTCTCGACTGATAGTGAAATATTACTCACTGGATTGCCCCATAGACATAGGCACGATTTGTCGAATTACGTTAAATCTTGGTGTTTGCTTGCGTGTGGTATTTTTATTGGTGCCATTATTTATTTAGTGTTTAATTCCGCATATTAATCTCCATAAAATTCCTAACATTTTCCTATATATAATAAAGCATGTTCAAGTGATCGTTATGCTCACGATCACTATTCGTCCAAAATGGACTAAATTGGATTTTGGTGTTTGAACAAAATTATAAAGGATATTTTTCTCAGTGAAAATTATTGTTCACAATTTTAAGGGGTTTATTATTAAAGTTTTAAAGCTAAAGTGGGTTTTCTAGTAACCCATAAACTCAAAGGGTTTTTCAAATATTTTAAAAGTTACGAGGGGTTTATCATCCAAATTTAACGGGGCTTCTAATATTTAGCCTAACAAGCACATTATTTTCCTAGTAAGCCTTTTCCCCCTGAAACCTTGGCTCAGAACCAGCTAAGCAACACTTCTATTGTTCAACTGGCCTAGTGATTGGGACTTTGGGCCTTGGTTCAAAAGATCATTATGTATCCTTAATTTCTAATTATTAAGCACTATAATTCTTGTGTATTCATCTGATCTAGTCTTTCCAGTTTTCATTTGAATTGCTCAGGATTATGCTTTTGTTTGTAAGTCCATAAACTCACAAACAATGATGATGACTTTTCATGCGGCTCAAGTTCTCATTGGATTTAGACCCTTCACTAAAAAAAACATAATAGCGGAAACACTGTAATATCTTAATCATTGATTTTGTATTATGTAGATAAGATTTTTCTTCGAGTGCAAATCAAGAATAATTATAATTCTTAGGATATGATAAGTGTTGGATTTATAATGGATCATAATCGCCGACTATATAATTAATGGTTACGGTAAAAAAATAGTGATGTGTGTGTGTTTATTTTATTTTATTTTTGAAGATACAAATTTGTTGACATCTCATGCAATCCTTTTTTCCCATTTTCTCTCTCTATCTCCTTTTATTTTTTATTTTTGGGTCCTTTCTTCTTATAACCTTATATGAACTATTAGCTTTTCCTTATCGGAATGACAATAATTTAAAGATAATACTTTAAAACTAATAGCGGAAGATGAAACATGAAAACACTATATGCCTATATTGTATTATTAAATGATTTAAATTATTAAAGCCCATTAAGATTAGTCATGTCCCGAGCTTTGTTACAGGGACCCAAAATATGGGACCAACAGGCAGGGCCGGTTCTGAGATTTTAGGGGCCCTGTGCGAAAAGTAAACACAAGGCCCTTCTCTATATACAAAATATCAATAAATTCCAATTTGAATTCCTAAAATGCTAGGGAACAAAATGTTATTGATCAGACATTAAGAAGTAATTTATCCAAATTAAGAATGACCAACATAGAAATATGAGATATCTTCTGTAATACAATGTAAATGAGAAAGCTCAGCTAAAGCAACATGTATAAACAATCACTATGCTGTGTTAATAATCCTTGTTTGTAATTCAGGTATTAACATTTCCACATAAATGAAACAAGCCAGTAAGATACTTAAATCCTGTCAGGACTCTGTTTCCAATAGAAATTAAGAAAGATGGGTAGACACTAGACAAGTGGCTCCAAACAATGTGTAAAAATCTAAACTAAAATACTTCTCAGTTTGTTGAAACATACCTCCGCTTGGGTCTGCGATTGAATATTTCGAGCGGAAGGATTCTTCAGTCCACGTCTATTGGGCATTAGACTTGCAGGCTTGGCAATTTGTTGCTTACTCCTTGTTGGTGCTTGAGCCAAACGACCATCTTCCAAAACGATGTTGATACTATGCCCTAACTTTGTTCCTCATTTCCGAAGCTTTAAAAATAAAATTGGTAGGAAAATTGTTTCTCATTCAGCTTTTTCTTTTGATATACTTGAAAATTAACATGAACTCTTTTGTAATTCAGGGTATCAAATCGTGAATAATAGAACTTCAGCGCATCAAAGGTAAAAGGGCAAAACTTTGGTGGCATTAAAGTGCAAATAACCCAAAAACTTAACTTTGTCTTAACTTAGGCCCCGGTTGGTTCCGGTTTTTGGAAAGGGAAAACTGCCAAAAAGCTAACATTCTTTCCCCCTTTTACCGATCCAAACTTATTAGTTATGAACCTTACTTTTAACGAATTGAATTTAATTATGAACTGTTTTCGAGCTTTTCGACGATTTACCGTTGAAAAACTGAGTGTGCACAGTTAAGGGCTCATTTGCTCCAATTTAAAGCCAAAGTACCAATTTTTAAAGAATCAACAGAGTGAAAAATCAATTTTTTTGAAAGAACCAAGGGGCAAGGGTTTTAGAAAGTCACCAATCAGAATCAAGGTTAGGAGGAGCATCAATCATCCACTCCAGCAACATAAGCCGCCTCGCAAACCACCGGCGAGCCTCCGTGCCCTTCAACTTCGACACCTCGACGACATCAAGCTCCCCCTTATCGGCTTTCAGATCCGATTCCAGCCAAGCCTTGTTCTCAGTTTCCAGCTCAATATCAGGCTCGGATTCGGGCTGGGGTTCGGGTTGGAGGTCGAAATTTGGGAGAAGGCGGCGTGGATCGAGATCGGTTTGGGTCCGAACGAGGAGGAGGAGAGGCCGGTGATTGGGTGAAATCTAGGGTTAGGGTTAGGGTTTTTTTGGAGAGATCGAGATGGAGATCGGAGCTTGAGGAGACTCAAGAGAGGAGCTGATTTTCGGGGTTTTATCAAAAGGGTTGGGTTTAGGGTTTTTGGGGGCCCCCAATTTTAGGGGGCCCTATGCAGTCGATCACCTCGCACTCCCTCAGAACCGGACCTGTCAACAGGAGGACATGTGATGTGTCCCCCTCTTATTGCATAATGAGCTGATCATCATTAATTAGGATAAATTTTCAAATCCAACCTGTTTGTCAAAAAATTCCCAAAAAAAAACTCGTTTCAAACTTAATTTCAAAAACCGACCTAGTTGGACAGAAATTGGGTCGGTTTTTGGAAAAAAAATCCCAAACTTCACAGGAGTTGAAGTCCCGTGAAGTTTTGTTATATAAAAAACTTCACGGGACTTTAACTCCCGTAAAATTTAGGAACTTTTTTTTTCAAAAACCGACCCAGTTTCAGCCAACTAGATCTGTTTTTGAAATTATGTTTGAAATGGGTCTGTTTTTGGGAATAAAATTCAAAATAGGCTGGTTATGAAAATTTGTCCTAATTAATTATGGCCAGCTCATTATGCAATAGGAGGGTGACACCTCACATATCCCCCTCTATTGGTCCCATATTTTGGGTCCTTGGGAAATTTCCCCACTAAAATCTAGAAAAACCTAAATGTCAAATCTAAGTCCCAATTTTGAATCTATCTTTTTTCTCTCTTAAATAAATGAACAAATAAACCACTGTGAGAAAGAGAAAAACCAAACTTCTTTCTTTTATTTATTGCATGTAAAATATGAAATGAGAGATGTGAAGTCATTGTACTATTATTAGCCCTGTCCAAAAAGCCCTGAGGCCCGGGCCCGAGCCCAGGCTGCTCGGCACACCCATAATGGTCACCCTTGGTGACCGTTGTAGGCAAAATACCTGGCCATGCCCGACGAAAACGGTCACCAAAGGTGACCGTTTTCGCCGAACGGTCACATTTGTGACCATTTTGGCCAGCCCGGCCCGGCCAAAACAGCTATTTTGCCGTTTTGACCGTTTTGCTCCTTACAACGGTCAAAAAAATGGCTATTTGGTGAGGGTTTTTTGGTCATTTTCCTAGGAGGCTCTCTATAAATAGAGGGGGGTTTTCACTTCTTCTCCTCACACCAAAACTCAACTACTTCTCTCTAATACTCTCTTATACAATCTTATACTCTCTTATAATCTCTTATACTTTCTAATCCTTTCATCAAATGGCTTCTGGATCTGATTATGAAGAGCAAAATCTATCTCCTACCGATATTAAAATGAGTCCTCCTACAACAACAACTACTCCTCCTACCGATCCTACCAGTGGTAATCCCGAATCCGGTGGTGACAAATCTGCACCAAGAGCTCCTAAAAGGGCGCTGAGATCCGATGTGTGGAATTTTTTTGAGAAGTTAGATGTCACCAAGGATGAACACGATAGGATCCTCACCCAGAAGGCTAAATGTGCGTTGTGCGGTCGGATTTTCCAAGCTCATCATAAGAGCGGTACCAACCACCTCAAACGCCATATAGAAAAACACAACAAAGGTCAGACTCCTCAAGGTGATATCCGACAATCTATGATTTCCTAATCCTCCTCTTCTAGTAGTCTCGGTACTTGGAATTATGACGCTGCCCGAGCCAGGAAATGCTTCATCAGGTTTATCATTCTTAAAAATCTTCCTTTTAAATTAGTAGAAGATAATGAATTTGAAGATTTGTTTAGAGATGATTTTTATCCCGATTTTAAAAAAATTTCTCATCAAACCTGTCAACGTGACATTTTAAAACATTATCTGTGATGCCTCTGGGTTCACGCAAGGCTGCAGTCCAAGGTGAAACCAAGAATGTCAAACCTGCCATGCACCACACCGTGCAATAACATGTTTTACCATCATAATTACTATCTCTCTAGTAGAGTCAATAACAGGGCAATAACATGTTTTACCATCATAATTACTATCTCTCTAGTAGAGTCAATAACAGGTGTAGGTACAAAGCAAGTAAAAGATAAATACAAGGGATAACTGATGAAATGATAGTGATCGAATTGATATTTCATCATCCAACATACTGAAATAGAAGTCAATGCCTGAAATGAATAAACTAAAGTTTCAACAAGTCTCGAATACATAAAGTCTGAATAAGAGGAAATAAGGCACACAGCCTTTACAACTTCTAGAAGTAAACTCTCAAAATGTCTAAATAAAAACCTACAGTGGAGCTCAAAAGACAAATATAACTACAATAGAATAGCTGAAGCTAAAGTGTCTCGCCATCAACCTGCAACTCTCCGGGCTCCTGGCTCGTTACCTGAAAGGGGGAGGGACAACGAGCGTCAAAGCGCTAGCGAGCAACATCACAACCAACCCCAAGGGAAAGGGCTCGTTGTATACGGAAAATACAGTTATAATATATATATAATATCACTGATCCTATTTAGATAATTACAACATGAGCATGAGTACGTCGAGCGAAATAATCCAAATAAGGAAACCCTCATAAATATACCATGTAGCTCAAATTGTAAATACCTATGAATAAGAGGATTTTAGTATTTAGGAAATTACAACACGAGCATAGGTACGTCGAGCGAAATAATCCAAACAAGGAAACCCTCATATATATACCTTGTATCTAAAATTGTAAATCCCTAAATACCAAACCCAAAATCTAATACATGAATAAAAATAAAAAGAAGGCAACACATCTCAGAACTTAAAATATTGTGTCATGTCACAACTCACATAAGTGTCATGTCCAGCCTATGCAAGTATACAACTCACATAAGTGTCATGTCCAGCCTATGCAAGTATAAGTGTCAATCTCAAGGTCTAAACTGATGTCCAACACATGGACTAAAACTAGATGTAGTAAGTATAAGTGTCAATCTCAAGGTCTAAACTGATGTCCAACACATGGACTAAAACTAGATGTAGTAGATGCCCAACACATGGACTGCATATGAAAATTGTCCAACACATGGACTGAATGTAGTAAATGTCCAACACATGGATTGCACATCATAATAGCCCAACACATGAACTAGATGAAATATATGAAAGATTGTTTTCGCCAAAAGTCGAATTTGTTGTCGAATTCATTATATCTTTAGTCGATTACAATAAATTCAAAGAAAACAGCCTTTTTATAAGACTCTTTTACACAACAAAAAGAAAATTACAACTCTTGAGAAAATAAACGCAGGATCGTTGTTTGGATCACTGCTTTCGTGGGATCTTTGCCTGTGCCGGGAGCGCTTTGACTCGTGGACCGAGCGCGTTAGCTCGTGGACCACCGAATCACAAATCGTGAAGAGGGGTTTACTGATTCTTCCTTCGTTATCGAAGTTAGAAATTGAAACGATATCTTATCAAAGTAAGATAGTCGTTCTTCTTGAAATCAAGTCAAAGCCTGAATATCAAGGAATTGCCAGAAGCTCATAGATCTCTGCTCTCTCTGCTCTGGAATGCTCTAACAAATGCTCGATATGATCAGCCTTGGATCTCTGCCGGAAGCCCCTCTGTCTCGCTGGGCGAGACAGTGTTTGCTGTCTCGCTGGGCGAGACAGTGTTTGCTGTCTCGCTGGGCGAGACAGTGTTTGCTGTCTCGACCCGGGAGACAGTAAATACTGTCTCGGAAACAGTAACCGCAGGCAGTTTTCGTTTTAACTGCCTTCCCACATTTCAAACTCCGTTATTTTGGCAGTTATCCACGTGATTCTCGCCCACGACGTTTCCCACATTCTTGAACAGTTAGTGGCCACGTGTAGGACAGTTGCAAAGGTAGTTTTGACCATCTGAAAGCTGTCTCACGTGCGAGACAGTAAATTCTGTCTCGCACGGCGAGACAGTAAATACTGTCTCGCAGGGGCGAGACAGTGAAAACTGTCTCGCGGGGGCGAGACAGTGAAAACTGTCTCGCCAGGTGAGACAGTGAAAACTGTCTCGCCAGGCGAGACAGTAAAGACTGTCTCGCCAGGCGAGACAGTAAAGACTGTCTCGCCTGTGAGACAGTAAAGACTTGTGTTCTTCTGCCTTTTTGGATGATTTCCTCTTGAGCTGTATTTGGATATCTTTCAGCATTTTTTGACGCCTACAGATACCCCCTCCAAAGTATTCCAGACTCAATCTTTTATAGAGGAGTTCTGGGATGCTTTGGATAAGATAGATCTTACTTACGATCCTTTCAATGCTTGGTTGAGTAGATCGTGTAGAGGAACCCGTAGGTGGCTTCAACTTTTGATCTCTTTGTCTCTCAATCTATTCAGTGCTTTGTAGAATAGTTAAGATTCTTCCGGCATCGCGTTTATCGCTTGTCCATTGTAGAGATCTTGAATTAAAGCTGGAACTTGTACTTGTGAAATCAGCTCTTGTCGTCAAGTTGACACTGCATATACCCGTTTAGGGGTAGTCAGGTTATTCTTAAGAATATTTTAACTGATATTCTCTAGAAACTTCCTGTTGAGGGTAGGAAAACAGTTTAGACTCGTGTACCTAGTTGGAGTATTCAAGTTATTCTTAAGAATATTCTGAGTAATATTCTCCAGAAACTTCCTGTTGAGGGTAGGAAAACAGTTTAGACTCGTGTACCTATTGGAGTATTCAGGTTATTCTTAAGAATATTCTGAGTAATATTCTCCAGAAACTTCCTGTTGAGGGTAGGAAAACAGTTTAGACTCGTGTACCTATTGGAGTATTCAGGTTATTCTTAAGAATATTCTGAGTAATATTCTCCAGAAACTTCCTGTTGAGGGTAGGAAAACAGTTTAGACTCGTGTACCTATTGGAGTATTCAGGTTATTCTTAAGAATATTCTGAGTAATATTCTCCAGAAACTTCCTGTTGAGGGTAGGAAAACAGTTTAGACTCGTGTACCTATTGGAGTATTCAGGTTATTCTTAAGAATATTCTGAGTAATATTCTCCAGAAACTTCCTGTTGAGGGTAGGAAAACAGTTTAGACTCGTGAACCTATTGGAGTATTCAGGTTATTCTTAAGAATATTCTGAGTAATATACCTCTTGTTCATGGAAGGAATCAAGAGGGAATTTTGGCTTCGGTCCTAACTGTTTAAAGGTTTGACCAAGTGGGAGTT